AGCCCAAATGCACTGGATGTCTCAAATGTTCCTTCATAGAAAACCACATGCCTCCGTTTTATTCTATTGTGGCTAATATGATTTCATCATCTTAGGGAGCAACATAGCCATGGGGAGATAATTCCAAAGTCATAAGGACTTGGGATAATTTTGCTGAACTTGAAATAGAACCCCCAAACATATATTTAGGGTAAAATCTGGTAAAGTGCAGGACAGGCACTCATTTTTCACTTGAAAGTATTTTGAGTGGCAAAAAACTACTACATAATAGTATTTATCCAAGTTCTGCTTTGCCTGTGATAGGTATTGTCCATTCATATAGCAGCTTCATAAAATCACAAGGAGTGTCTAAGTTGAATGCATGTGCCTACCACATTGCTTTGAAATCAATGGTGTTTTAAAGCCTGTCTTTGGTAGTTCTCTTAGGAAGACCTGAGTTTGTCATGGTCCCTTTAAGTGTAAGGAGTTTGAGTTTATACATCAAATTGCATCTCAACAAGAAGTCTTTTTAATTGTCTCTCAATTCACCAAGTTATAGTTTAAACTCAAAAGGACATAAATACAGGGTGTGGCAAAAGTAGATTTACAGTTGTAAATATGTGAAACATGGAGTTTATTCTTGTATTATTATTTATTGATTATTGTATTATCTTCCATACAAATAACTGTAAACTTACTTTTGCCCTACTCTGTAAATTTCACTTAAGGATTAGATTGAACAATCACTTCAAAATTATCTATAAAAGAGAAGTGTTTTTTATAGTGGTATCTATAAAAGACAGATATTTCTTTAGAAGTATTGATGTTATTAGATTTTTATGGCCTAAAGAGAAAAAGTCCTTTTATTCATGATTTGCTCAAAACTAAGCCTGCATTTTTGCAAAATTATACTATATATATTCACATCCTAGTAGAAATTATCACTCTAGCAGTGCAGAGATTTGTCCTGCAATATCATGTGATGTAACAATGTCATTTAAAACAGGATTTTATTTATTCTGCAGATTTTTCTAAATCCAAATTCCCATTAGCTTCATAGCAACTTTCCTTTCAGTAAATAATGTAAAAGTGGCCTTTAAAAAAAGTAGGATTGCCCTAACTGGTTTAGCTCAGTGGATAGAGCCTCGTCCTGCGGACTGAAAGGTCCCAGGTCCGATTCAGGTCAAGGGCATGTACCTTGGTTGCGGGCACATCCCCAGTGGGAAGTGTGCAGGAGGCAGCTGATCGGTGTTTCTCTCTCATTGATGTTTCTAACTCTCTATCCCTCTCCCTTCCTCTCTGTAAAAAATCAATAAAATAAAAAAAGTATGATAGCCTGGACTCTTTCTCGAGAACTTCCACTGCATGAATTACTGTTGCCCCTTTTTGGATCATATGTGTGAATTTTTCATGGCTCTTGACCATGGCCAAAATAACCTGAGCTTGCTTTCCATCCCTAATAATAATTATGTTCTAGATAATTATTATTATGATGATCCTTTCTCCTCAGTAGAAAAGTGGCTGGACCAACCCAAAAAGGACTAGCCTCTTCCTCCTCTCATTCAGATTTTCTTCTGTTGCAGATTGGATTTGAGGATCCTCCCCTCCAGGGACAGGCTGCAGCTTCAGGGAGTGGGAATGGAGCTGATTCTGAGCCAGCACGCCATATCTTCTCCTTTTCCTGGTTGAACTCCCTGAACGAATGATGTTCATTCCAATTGCTGCCCCTCTGTCTGCCTGGCTGAAATGCACACAAGTAGCAGGGAACCTAGATGAAACTAATATGATGTAAATGATGAAAGGGACCTCGGAACAAGATTTCTGCAACAAAAGAAAAATCTTTAATTCCAGATGATTTATCTAACACATTAAGGGAAAACAGCTGCAGAAAGCATTGGGAAAAAGAAACTTGATCTTATGCAAATCTTTTATTGTGTGGGAAACAGTATGAAGGATGTGTCAGTGTGGTATGTGTGAGCATGTGTCAGTAACAAGTGGCAAGTGTTGAAAAAAGTGGGCACTATACTCTTATCGCTAATAGGCACTGGCTTTTGTTATTATATAATAGTAGCTCTTATTCTCTTTCCTTGTTAACAATGCATATGGTCAGTGAAATTCACTATTAATTTAGAAGTGACTGATTTATCAATATATGGACAAAAGGTAAATCATTGACCAAAGGTAAGATATGTTTCACAAAGGTTTCCTCTTTTCCATAATATATGTTGCTGGACGTATATCTAGAAACGTTCTTTGACTCTGGTGACACTTTCACAGTCCAGAAGGCTGAAGGCCTAGGACATTTATTGTGACATTTTTCTAATCTAGTTTTAGATATGCAGATAACAAGCACTTTAATTGAGGAAAAAAAACTTTTTCACAGGAACCATCTATTTTCTCATGTATCCAATGAGGCACAACTTCATGTATTTAAATACATATATGTATGTATATATACACACACACATATATATACATATATGTACTACATTATATATGTATATATGTATATATGTATATATATTTAAATTGTTTTATTTGTCCCACCATAATGCCTCCTTCAGAACATAAATACAACTTTACTCTGTATGAACTCTGAAATAAATGCTGTTTTAAACAACTTAGTCTTATAATGATTTATTTGGTGTGTTTTTTTATCTTATTAATCCATTAGTCAAGTTGTTTAAAGGGTCCCAAGGGAAGAAGCATCTTCATACATCCAAATTAATTTTGAAGTATTAATCAATTTTTTTTTACCTAGGGGTTTTATAGTCTTATATTTTACAATTAACTCCATGATTAATTTTGTGTTAATAATTGTGTAAGATGTTAAATTTTGGATGAGATTATTTTTTAAAATATATTTTTATTGAGCCATAACCGGTTTGGCTCAGTGGATAGAGCATCGGCCTGTGGACTGAAAGGTCCCAGGTTCGATTCCGGTCAAGGGCATGTACCTTGGTTGTGGGCACATCCCCAGAAGGGGG